TATAGAAGAATACTTCTGATTGTTTTATCTCTTGCTATTAGGGAAGGTTTTGCATAATTCAGATTATAAAACTGCAGTAAGCTACTCATCAAATTACTAATCTGATAGTTTTTTCTGGTGACAATTTATCAGTATGGCAATTTTAATTAAACATGTTTTCCAGAATGGTAAACATTCAAGACCATATAGGACATTTTCCCCTATTTTCAGATTGATATCTTTAAACAAGAGTATTTGGAAATTTAGTAGTAATAAATTTATAAGAAAAAATCCTTCTCCACAAACTATTCTAACATGAAACATTGAGAAGAGCAAAAATTCCTTTAACTGGAAAGTTATAAAAGCTTTTCTTTTACATAATGATTTCTGTAGGCCCTATAAAGATCCTTTAAAACTATTAGAATCTGATCATCTTAAAAATATGTATGTTGGTATCCACAATTTCTGAGTTCTTATTGTAAGGAAACAGACCGCACAGAAAGGACGTAACAATGGTATGGAAACTTAGCATCCTCTCCAATTGGACTCTTTATTGCAGGCTTATTGCTTCCGTGTGTGTGTGTGTGTGTGTGTGTGTGTGTGTGTGTGTGTGTGTGTGTGTGTGTTTCTTAAAAAATCTTTAACTCAACCACATCCCTAAAATTTTTGGCACTCTTTTTAAGCACTGAATCCAAAGCAGGAGAAAAAAACAATAACTTTTAAAAGAAATTATCACACAATTCTATTAGACTCAGGATTTGTTTTTTCATTATGGAGGTGTGTTGGAAATTAATAATAAAGACCGATTTATAATCCTTAAAAAAATTTACTCTATTTAAACCAGCCAAAATACCATAAATTATCTTGTCTTAATATGTAAATAAATAATAGCTATGTTGAATATTACATTCTAGAACATATAAATTAATTTGGGGGATATTAAAATAGATGAGGTTAACACTTTTGCACCCTGAAGGCTTTTTTTTTTTTGGAAACTATGTGGTTACATGAAGCTGAGGAACACAAGCATCAAATAAAATTAATTCACATAATTTTCTGAAACAATAAAATCTTTGCTCAAAATACACAATAAAAAGAACAATGAATTATTTAAACTCTATAGTCATTGCACTTTTCCACAAATTAGAGTGCATAATTCACGACTCCCTAAAAGAAGCATTTTAAGTTACAGTATGTGTCAAGTAAAAGAGAAGAATGAAAAATTCCCATACCCTGAATTGAGAACAGATGGAAATCAGATAAGAAGAGAGAGTGTAGCTTTAGATGACTGACCAAGAAATCTACCCCAGAGCAGGGCCAAATATACCAGACCTCAGCTTGTTCTGCCTTCCAGCTAATTTCCAAATTAAATCCAAGAGAAATGCAAAGCACCTCATAGATTAGATGCATGGTTTTTAATTTTTGCAATCATTTATTTCTCTCTTTACATATAAATTGTATAAAGAAACCTTAAATAAGTTTAAAAATTATGTCTAATCAATATAAAGTAGTCTTCTAATCACTTTTGTGAGTTTAGCACTATTCCAAACTAAGACTGTTAACAATAAATTTCTGTAAAATTGTAAAATAGGTTTACCAAAAAAAGTAGCAGGCATGAAACAAACCTAAGATGTGGGCACTGAATTCCTTGCATGAATAAAGAGCCATCTGCCATAAACAAGAGTTTTGTAAATAAATGATGGCTCCATCTTATATTCATTCTTTTCATATTTGATCTGTACACTAAAATAGCTTTAAATACAATGCCAATACTAATTCTTATAAACAAAATTCCCTTATTTGATATTTAATTTTATATAGCATAATATAATTTTTCTATCTAAAAATACAAGTTATAAACTTAAAAGAATACTCTCTATACTGCTGTATTTGCTTCAATATTTTTAATATAGGTAGTAATTTAAAACTTGAACGAAACAGAATAGTTCATATTTTCAGGTGTTTTCAAATTTTAATGTATTTAAAAACAATAATTTTACTATTAATAATAATTCTATTAAAATATTTTAAAAGCAATTTTGTAGGATATACTATGAGCTTTTAAAAAGCTACCAGACATCTATCAAAAATAAGCTGTGGAGCAAATTTTTTTTCATTTGCTTTGACATAAAACTTGCATTTGTTGAAACAGTAACTTCACATTTTAATCAAAAGTACTCAGATTTATACATCATTCTTATCCACGATTTAAAACATCTTTTCCAAGACAACAATGATTAAGTTGTCTGTGTACATTTTCTCTGCCATCCCAGAAAGTTGGCTTTCAATATCTTAACCCTATTTTGTCTTTTTGAACCTGACAAAATATATGCCAAAAAAGAAATAGAGAAACATGAATCATCCTAAATGGTGAAAGCAAAATGTACCTCAAGCTTAGGTGATTTCAGTTTAAAAAACCCAAGGCACTGGTAATTTGATACAGGTTTCACTTACGATATGGAACAAGGCTTTCCATAGACAGGAGGCTCAATACAGCATAATGCATAGTTAAATATGTGGGTGAAAATTATATTTTATTACTCAGATTACTCAAAATTATATGCAAAAATTACCAAAGAAAAATAAAAAAAATTTTTCAAGTGTCTAGTTTTCTTTTTTTCTAATCTTCCTTATCAGTAAATAAAAGCCACAAGAGGCAAACATTTAGGGATATCATGCTCATTAAATTTTATTAAAGTTCATTTTCTATACTTTATGCAAATAAAATCTGAATTAAGCAAAAACACTGTGTACATTTAAATTTCTCATATTAATAAATTCAAATTATCCAAAATATTAAATATAATTCCTCCATCAAATATTACACTATTGTGTTAAGTCATTTTGTGGTTAACTGGTTGAATAATTTTACCATGAAGAAGAGAACATTTTATAGTGGATTCAAAACTTCTATTATCTTTCTAGTGAAAGGCAGGGGATTTTGAATAAAGAGTGCATATGCACACACTTAACGATTATTCAAGACTCCTGTCTAGTCCCAGATATTTCACTGTCTTTATAAAATGGGTAAGTCACAAACACTCTGGATGACACTCATCTGTAAAAAGAATACAGTAGGTTTATATTAACATTTCTCAAACTATAGGCTATGGACACCCAAGGATCTATGAACACATACTTGGGAGTCTAACAGTGTTACAAGATGGTATGTTTTAGTGTCTTCATATTATTATATAAATATGATTATATCCTGATAATCTCATTGAGAATTTTTACAACTGATTATTATCACATAATTTCAGGATCCGAATTTGATATTATGTTTATGATATTTTATGTTAGTTATAGCGACTATGTTTACTTCTTGATATAGTGTTTCTCAAAATGGGATTTACTAATGTATTCTTGGTGCCTGAGAGACATTTTTCTATTAACACAAGACCACGTATTATTAAGACCAAGAGATGCTAGATTGGATCGTCTTTCTAATTCCATTCTAAAAAATGCTGTATTCAATTGCAGTCTACCAATACCTTACAGCAATCAAATTTTAAAAGCATACATAGAGAAAGCAAACTTCACAAGAGGAGTTACAGTATCTAATTCCAACTATGTTCTACTTCTTTTCTTTTTATAATTATATGCAAATGAAACTTTTACGATATCAATAAGCAGTGAGCAAAACATAACAAGGCTGTCAAAGTTTCAATTAGCAACAACCACTATCCTTTCAAGTGGTTTAGTAGGCTACATATTAACTAAAAGTCAGAAAATCTAGTTTCTTTTTCCAGTTTTTCCCCTGGCTTGAAATCATTGCCCCAATCTTTGTATTATGCTACCCAATGTATAAAATGCACAATAAATACTAGGTACTCATGTTATACAATAATGATCAGTATGTTTTAAATTTTAACTGATATAGTAACTGGGAAACAGCAAATCAGCAAAACTGAAATATTTGCTTATTATCAGTGATTATATATAAAATATAAAAATAAATTTTGTTTTTGACTATAGGGATTACTTTGATCTAGTTTTTAAAACATTTATGTTTAAATTGGCTTCATCTAACTTACAAATATTTGTAATTTTGCAATTAGCACTTAAGGTATTTCATTGGTAAAAATCATTGTTTGCTGGTTAAACATCTAAAAATAAAAACTTACCATTATCCATATATCATAATTTTATAACAATATAGTAAGCCAGATACTCTTAAAGGAATTATCTATTCATGTATCTTAATAATTAAAGCATCTCCACACCAGTAAAGAGAAGTAAAGTGTTTGCAAACTGTGAGGATATTCTAAATTTAAAATACATGCACCTTCCATTTAAAATATGGCTACTTAATTTTCAATTTAAAAAGTAGGAAGAATGAAACTACCTTAAATTATCTTATGTGTCTATGATATAAATTTGAATACAGGTTTTAGGTAAAACTCTCCAGAAAGAAGAGTATAAAATTTTTTCTTGATATGTGGCATCTTAAGCATTGTTTTAAAAAAGATAAGTTTTTAAATAATTTCTAAAGCATTTCCAATACTATAGCATAATTTGAATAATTAACATAAAAAATAATTTAAAATTACTTATTATATTTAAATTAAATTTTGAGAGATTCATTTTAAGAATGTGATGGCTGTGAAAATCTAAGATCAATTTCACAATCAACCAATTCCATAACAACCTTAAGTCATATAAACAGGGAATGGGAACAGATTCAAATAACATTTTTCTTTTCCTGTTAACCTAGCAAATATACGCAAAGTTAATTTAGCAGACTCATTCCAAACTTTCTTCTTCCCATAAAAAAATGTTTCAGCTTTTACTATTTTAAGATATATTTTCTGGAAGATTAATTAGACCATTAACTAACGAACAGTAAAGTATGGTCAGAATAAAAAAAAAAAAAATTTACTTATCACAGTATATGAAAGCATGCACTACATTTCCATAAAATACATGCTTTCATATATTGTGACAAGTAATTTATTTTCTTCTGGAATTGGCATGTGCAATTGTACAAGCATTGAAATCAGCTCCAAGAATTACCCTACCTGAATTGTAGAGCTGATCTCCGATGCAAAGCCGCCTGTCAAGGGAGCCTCGTGACTGATTAGCAGTCGCCCTGTTTTGATCACAGACTGAAAGAGCAAGGGAAAACTTGATGTTAAAAAGAATACTATTTTACGAGTATCTACATAAAGAATATCCCTTTATGTATATGATGGTGGTTTTAATTCAGTAATAAAAATTATATCAATTCAATAAATGGTGTAAAAATCAGTAATTCAATTGTATGCCAGTAAGTTACAATTCCCTTTTGACAGGTCAGTCTTCTGATTTTTGTACTGTAAAAATTTTTTCAATATGATTTATAATTCCAGTAGAAAAGAAAAATGAGATTTGTAATTCTACATACGCAATTAAAAATGCATACCCTTTATTATAAGATACATTTGTGTTATAAACTGAAATACCGTATTTCATATTTCAATGTCAATATTTTTCTTCATGTTACAGAGTGAAAGTGCTTTTTATTCATTTTGGGCATGTTTGTATATAAATAACAATAGCCTTAATAAATACTGTTTTATGGAAAAGGAAAACACAAAAATAGTACGTGAAAGCAAAGAAAAAAATTCAGCAGTAAGAAATCCTTGCAAACGTAAAATGGTTAGAACCCCGTTTGTTAATGTGCTCTAAAATCTGGTTGATGACCCACTCCATTTTAAGGGGGGAAATGTCATAAACAATGAGTATGTATTCTCAACATTTGTTAAATGTGGTTGTCCACACTGTGTGTGATATGCTCTGTAAAATATTAAATTAAAAAGTTTAGCAATGATATCATAGCAGGATGCCAGCTGTGTTGGCAGGTAAAAACTATTAAAATCAATGGGTTATTGTTTAAAATATGTTGAAAAATTACCATAGTACCAAAGAGAAATAGCAGTTTTGTGTTTAGGTTTTCTTAAAATTTGATATCACCTTTATTAAAATGTTACTATTTCATAAATACAAAATGAAATCTTTCAAGCAAAGATATATATTGAAATAAAAGATTTCATTCATTCTAGGTAATTATAGTTCAGAATTTTTAAAGTATGCAGAAGTTTCAACCAGCATATGTTAAATCCCAAGATATGGCCAGTAGCCATGACAAAAATAAGTTATAAGTTAACCGTATCTACTAAGTAAACACTGGCTGAAGAACATAAAATTTTATGAACACCTTAATGAATACCACTCCACCCCAGTGAAATACTAATCTTAGGATATTTGTATTGGGCTTTCTACGACTGTGATTAATTATGCCATTTGTAAGATTCACAAATTAAATTTCAATGTACCTGTACAGAAATATAAAAAAACAAAAGTATTCCACAATCACAAAACAACAAATGTACTCTCAAAGTGTTTCTAAAAGATGTCTTGACTTTAAACAATGAAAAAAAGGATGACAGCCAAAACCCATACAAGCTATCTAGCGGATCTTAAATTTCTAGCAGATACAAACTTCTATAAAAATATTGTTACCCTAAAACCCTACACAACCAAATTGGTCCTTTTTGTCTGAGCTCAGGCCTATCCAAAATCAAATGACAACCTTTAGAATAATCCCTGAAAGCCAACAAGCAAACAGAGCAGATGGCCTATGCATCCAATAGCCTATGCAGATGGCGACAGAGTGCAGTGGTGAAATCAAGCACAGATGACCAAGGACAAAAGCTTCCAACATTTGAGGTTAATACAACATGATTTGTAAGCAGATGAAATCTGGAGCCCTTTTTAGTGTCCTTCAGCAGAAGAATGACTAAATAGACCAATATGCATCAACACAATGGAGTATTATGCAGCCATGAAAAAGACTGAGGACATGTAAAAACACCCATGACAAATTAATTGGTAAATGAGAAAGTTGCAGGACAATATAATCTTATATTTTGTGAAAACAACCACCACAACAGTCAGCACACCAAGAGACATATCTTTTCAACATGTACATTGAGCCAACACATACAAACAGTCTGGAAACTTTCATACTGAAATATCAAAAACTGTTTCTCCTGAGGATTCCCAGTGAAGGAAGTATAGGAAAGAGACTTTTATTTTTTGCTTTATGTATGTTTAGATCACTGAAAGTACTCTAGTAAGTCTAAAATAAATAAAGGGAAAGCCCTTGAATTAGTGCAAGGGATTTAAAACTACATGTTCTTTTTCAGTTATAATCTTCTCAAAAAATGTAATAATGTTTTTGCGATATCTTAGGACTAGCCTCAGAAACAAGGGAATCCTGAGATCCCAAACTCCAGAAGCAAACAGGCACACTAACAACACAGGGAGCCAGTCTTCCCATCCCATTCTGTGTGATCTGCTTCAGGTCAGGACCATATCCAGGTCATCACTTGGTCCTCAACGCTGTTAGATGCTCGACAAAATGAACAATAAACTACTGGCATTAGACAAGTTCAAGTTCTGCAACACGTCTGTATGTGCATTACAAAAATTCCATGTTCTCAGATGAGGAGTTAGGCTGACAGATATGAAAATATTGCAGAAATTTCGAAAACACCAAGAACTACAGGAAAAAACACAATAAAAGTAATCATACTTTCAGTTTGTGTAAATTGCCATTAATCTACAAACAAGTGGAACAAAAATAGTGCTGCAAGAAGACAGGAGTCAGAAGTAACAATCACAATTATAAACAATGATTGTCACAAAGATTGCTATGTGCAAGGCTCTGTGCTGAGTATTTTACATTCAGTTAACTTCACTTAATTTGGAAAGCACTTATTAATCATTTTTGCTTCTTAAAAATCATTGCTGATATCTAAAAGTATTAAAATGTATTGTTATGCCAAAATTCTGAAAATGCAAAAATTTAGAGTACTAATATTTTCAGTCACACTCAATTAGCATATATTAAACTGTCTAACAACAGTTCAATCATTTTGTGAGGTATAGTAGAAATTTAACTTGTTATATATATGCTTTTTATCATTCACAGTTTTAATTTACTAAAATTCCAGAAGAATGCTTTTCTATACTACTTTGGAAATTATTAACACTGTTAGTATTGTGAAAATGAGATCAACATAAATCTACAAACCAAGAGAATGTTACTCTTTGTATTCTTTCTATTTTAATTAGATATTCTGATTAAAGTATATGTTTTTGTCCACTTTAATAGACTTTTAATGTTCACATATCTAGGCAAAATAATATGTGACTGTCAAGAAATTTCCCTAACCATGTTTAGCATTTTTATACCCTTAGTAAAAATTAATACACTGTGTTCAATGGAGATAGCCATTAACCTTTTTAAGATAACCATAGATACAATACTAATAATAGTTTAAAAAATATTTTCTTCCAAAGAAAATAAATTTTCAAGTTCTTAAATTTTCTTCTGAGATAAATTCATCACTTGAAACAAATTAAAAGTGTGTAAACCACTTTTCAGGATGAAAGCTGAACCTATCAAAGCCAGGAAAGACAACATAAGACTGGATTTGCAAGTATCTGCTTCTCCAACTTTTTACCACTAAGAACTCTTCCTGGATTCTGGCCTATGGCAGATGGAGCACCAATGAGTTAGAGGTGGCAAATGACATCAGACAAAGCTAAGCCAATTAAAGATCAGGACTCTGAATAACTCAGGACACTCCCTGTCCTCTACCACAAAACAAAACGACTTTGTTTCTTGCAAGGGCTCTAAAAGATTTGTCAAAAAAGCATTAAAAACAGTCCTGAAAGGCTCATAATTTTCTCACCACTTCAGTTAGTCATTCCCTCCAACAGAGCATTAGCGGGATGCTATCACAATAGGAGCAATCAAAATCCCAACCCTGTACACACAGCATGTTCTGCTGGAATCCTGAACTTGTTTCTTGTTTGGCCGCCCCATGACTTTTCCCCATTATCCATTTTCTACCCAAATGTCTTTATGAAACGCCATAAATTAATCTATGCAGAATGTCTAACACAGTGCTCTGAACATTGTAGACACTCAAGAAAAGTTAGCTAGATTAAAAAAAAAAATCCATTAAAAATTATTTAACCTTATTATGCATATCCTCTTTTATTTATTCTATTGCATTCTTAGTATTTTTAAGGTAGTGCAAAAGCATATACTTGACCACATCCAAGAACAATTTAATGATGAAGTAGCAGGCTCCAAATTGATGATATTTTAATGTAGTTTTAACAATAAGATATCTGTGGTAATAGGAGAACTGCTAAGTTATACTCTGTTAAAATGATTGCACAGCCTTTGGCTGCCTAAACATCAGACATATGTTTTAGTGAATATAGCCTTTAAAGATTTTAACGCAATCCAACCAGCAAAACTGTTAAGTTGTCATTCTAGGAGAACTGATACAGAAACGCAAACCACAAAGCTTCCATATGCCTGAAAGTGCAACATCAACATTTGAAAAGCAAAACATTTATCATCTATCTATATTTTTTATTTTACTTCCTCCTCAAAATCTATAGCAAGATTGTCTACCTACAGACAATTCATCCTTACCTACACCAAGTACAGCAGCCTATTTCTGACTGCTAATAAGATATGGTTAAAAAAAAAAAAAGCAACATTTTAGACAGGCAATTTATAGCCCTTTTAAAATCTTCCATCTGAATACGCAGCTAATTAAAAGCAAAAGAAACACCAAAGCTAGTCTGCTTCAGTTCCTTCCAAAATCAAGAGAACCTCATATATGTGATGTACACATATAAGTACAATTAATGATAAAATCGCAGCACATACACTTCATTAATCAAGAGCATATTATTTATATAATCTAGAATCATTAAGAATAAAATTTTGATGAACCTCAAATATCAATGCAAATGAGTTAGATACATTGTTTGAGATGTCTTCTTGTTTTGTAGCCAAATGCATGTAACAAATTAGCCAGAAAAACATCATAATTAATCACAGGTTAACAAACGTATTAATATACGCCTAGCAATTTATTAATCAGCGTGACCTCCTCTGATATTCCACTGGAGAAAAACCAGTGCTAAACAACAACAACAAAAAAAAAAACAGTCCTGAGCTTCAGAGAGAGTTCTGAAAACGCCATTCTGGCAAAAATGTTAGTGATGGCATTACACATATTTTATTGTAGGAAAGTGTAAACCAAGAAAAACTAAATTGTCAGGGTTTTATCACCCATGCAGAAAAAGTACAAAAAGGAACAAGAAGAGCACAAAGACAATTGCATAAAGAGCTAAAGAATGAGCAAATAATGTTGACAAAGAAATGAAACATTTGGGAAATTTTTGGACATCCTCACTGGTTCATTTTTTCCTCAATGATTTGTATAATCAGAACTGAAATACTGAAGAACCTAAGAAAAACTGCTTTTGCAAAATTAAAAGTGGACATATTTCTGAAAGCTACTTCAAAATATTTCAGATAAACATGTTCCTGTCAGTCAACCTTACCTTTGCAACTTGTTTTCTATGCATTATGCTCCAGGCATGTCAGTCCCCTTGCAACTCTGTGAATGTGATCGATAGTTTTTCGACTCAGACTTCCTTCCCCACCTTGGCAGATATTCTATCCCTCCCTCAAGACCCATCTCACACAACCCTTCTCCTTTGGTCCCCCCCAACCAGCTGGGCCTTCTCTTACATTAAACCCCATGGTACTTTTCCTCCTTTTTCTTGTCAGATAGTCTACGTACTAGTGATCATTTACCAGTAGAATTTCAGGGAGCTGACAATGTAAACTATTATATGAAACCTAAAACCAGGTTACAAGGGCAAGAATCAAGTATAGTAATAAGATGAAGGCAGCACACACTGCTGTACCACTCTATCTTAGGAAGATACATGATTTACTTCATAGTATAGATATGTATGACTAATCCTTCAGCCTCATGCTAAATTACAAGTTTAAAGACAGAAACTCTTTCTTATAATGTGTACTGCAGAACACAGTACATGGCAAACAGATATTAAATTGAGCAAATTATGCTCTTTGTATATTAGTGAAAGATAAACAGCTTGAAAAAGGACCTACGTATCTTTATTTGTTTTGAGGAATCTTTCTTCATGGGTGGAGGGGTGGTCTCTATACTATCTCCCTCAGCACTCCAAGTCATTCTAGATCATGAAATTTGGAACTATCAAATATTCTGTACCTAACTAGAATACCTAATACATTGTATATGTGAACCCGAAATAAATTTTGCTTATATTGTTCCCCCAAAACATCACACAGACACAGTAATTTACACGAATAATTCTTCAAGCCTTGAAGTTTCTGATGCCTTTCATATCTTAGGAGGGACTGCTAATATTATTAGGATGCTGAAAGAGAAGTCCTAAAGCCTAAGCTCTAATTGTTCTAATTGCGATAGAGGACTACCCTGGGCCAACTCTCTCTACCTGTTTTCCTACTCCAGACTCATTTTAGAATAAGGAGTTGGCAGTACAATACACACTTCTGTGTACCTTTTAAACACGCATGATGGCAACAAATACACAAACACTGAGTTGGTCTTGAACACAAACTTCCCTTTCCTACTGAAAAAAAGGTCACCATGGTGGCAAAGGTATTGTACTGGACTAGAGGACATTTATTAGAGATGTAGTTAAACACGGGTAAATATTAAATAAATGCTTTCAAAAGTTTTTTGCCCCATTTCCCTGTCAGCTTAAACATCAAACAAAGCATAACCACCTATAGGCAGCAACATAATTATTTCTGCCAAAACAGTATTTCAAAGATTGAAGTAGCTGCTTGTCAGGTTGTTTTTGTATCTTCATTCTTACTTTTCTATCAGTTTTTTAAAATATTTTTATAAACTTATACCTAATCTCCACCTCAACTTAATCAATCTCTTTTTATGAACAAATTGTTACATGTGATTTGGCTATTAATACTGTTGACTTCCATATCACAGAATTTTAGAAAACTGTTGAAAAGGACTACTAAAAAGGCAAGTTGTACTTTTGAAACACACGCAGGGTGCTGCATCTTCCACACTTTCTATCCTTATAAGACCCTTCCTGGCTCTTCTAGGCTTTTTCTTTGGAGTTGGCAGGGGCAGGAGGCATTTGGAAGTACCACACAACTAAAGCCTTACTATAAATACGCTATGCTCTTCTAATAAATAAAGAAGTGAGAGTTAATGAGCTACAGCACAGTATTGGGCAAATTTAGAACCTGACCTAACCATGAAGACCACTGTTTTTATGGTATCGTTCCACTACCTTTATCATTAATTCCAGCAGTTTACCTTCATTCAAGTGATTACTTTGTTACCATGGTGTTAATATGTGTTATATTGTTCCAAATTTAGCATTTAGGTTATAATTATAGGCTGACTGAAAAATCCCATAAAGATAGTTTTGTTTTCCCATTTTAATCATTTTTAATTGTACAGTTCTGTGGCATTAAGTACATTCATGTTATTACACAACCATTACGCCCATCCATCACTAGTACCTATCCATCCTCCTAGCAAAACTCCATAGCCATTAAACAATAATTCCTCATTCCCCCTTCCTCCAAGCCCTTGGTATCATTCTACTTTCGGTCTCTATGAATCTGACTAGTTTAGGAACCTTATATAAATGGATTCATACAATATTTGTCATTTTGTGACTGTCTTATTTCACTTTGCATAATGTTTTCAAGATTCATCTATGCTATATCATGTGTCAAAATTTCCCTCCTTTGAAACTGAGTAATATCCCACTGTATGTATATATCACATTTTGTTTATATACTCATCTATCGATGGATGCTTAAGTTCCTTTTACCTTCTGGCTACTGTGAGTACTGCTGCTATGAACATAAGTGTACAAATATCGGTTTAAGTCCCTGCTTTCACTTCTTTTGTATATACACCCAGAAATGGAATTGCTGGGTCATGCCGTAATTGTTTAATTTTTTTCAGAAAAAGCCATACTAATTTCCAAAGACGCTATACCATTTTACATTCCCACCAACAGTGCACAGAGATGCAGTTTCTCCACATCTGAGCCAAAACTTATTTTCTGTAGTTTTGACAGTAGCCATCCCAATGGGTATGAGGTAGCATCTCATTGTGATTGTGATTTGCATTTCCCTAATAATTAGTGATGTTGAACAATTTTCAGGTGCTTATCGGCCAGGGGCATATCTTTTTTGGAGAAATATCTATCTGGGTCCTTTCTCCATTTTTTAATTGCCCTGTTTAATGTTTTGTTGTTGATTTAGTGCTTTAAAGGTGCTTAATACATCTAATTTCTTACACTGGTCCCTTTGAGGATTGGAAAGAAAATCTTTTCAGAATATGATACTCCATGTGGAAAAATATATAATTAAATCTCAATTGTTTACCATGGCCTCTTTCCTTAAAAAGCATCACATTCTGGTTTCCTCACCATCCTCCATTCTGAAACAGACACTGGAAAAAATTTTCCTGATATCATCAGTGTCACAGATCCTCTGTCAGACTGCTTATCCACAACAGCACTCCTCTCCTGAAAAATCTTCAATGGGAAATCAGCTAATCAGAATCTTAGAGATAACTTGTAAATAGTAACAGCACCTGTAATTCACTGCTATGGAAACAAAGGAGACAAGTTACACACTAGAGAACCTCTGAGCCTCAAAGCTTTGTTCCATATTGCGCCAGTAATTAGGAGATAAATAACGCCAACTAAGAAAATTTTGAACATTAGTACATACCAGAAAATCACTTTCACCATCTTATTTGAGTATTACATGCAATTTCTCAATTAACCTTTAATGTTGTATAAATTCCAAAGATCATCAGTTCATATTAAAACAATTTCTTGAGCCACATGTGCTAATACTGGGGAAGCAAAGACGAGTTAACCCAAGTCCCTAAAGGGTTGTACTGCATGTTACCAAATGCCCTAGGGCAAAGCATACCCAAAAAATAAATAAATAATTTAAAGAGTATTTTAAGTGATAATAAAAAACAAGGAAATGCATGATACTGGTATTAAAAATCAACTTACTTTTGTTAAAAACAAGTTTTTCTAGAATTTTAAATTTCAACTCCTTTGTTCTTTTCTAAAATAATATTGAAAAATGAATTTTTCTCCTCTTAAAACAATTACTAATGTCCTCTGCTTTTCAATTCATAAGTCTCCATTTGGCAAATTTTTCTCAAGTGTTGACAACAGAGGGAAATACTATGTCTGGCCATCATAAGAGTTCTAAAGGGTAGAAACTGACATCATCCATTGTACTCCCAGTATACCGTGAATAAGAAGAAAATGACCCTAACCAAAACCAGGATTGTCAGGCAGTTACATTTTACACTGCTTTTAAGCACGTATCAAGGGTACAATTTTCCCTGAAGCCAGCTGGTTGTCTACCAAGATCATGCTTCCCAAAGGAATGATCAAAAGTATAAACACTGCTACACTTCTGTATCACCATGGATAAATGGTCCTATTTTCTAAAACCTGGTCCAATTCTGTTGGGATAAATGAATTTTTGGTCCATTACGAAACAAAAATTATGTGTAGTTCATAATACATGGGCAAGGCTTAAAATCTTTTGGGTCTTTTTAGGGTACGACTCAAAAAAATGTTGGAGTAAAACTCAAAGGGTATTTCAGCAAAAATTACACATCTTTTTTAGTATATATAACTAAGATGGCACAGAGAGAAATAAAATATATAACATGTATCTTCATTAAAATCAATTATCACACAGTTTTAATTATGTATTTAAGTTATTAATATGACAGGTGGATTCAGGAAAATAATTATTTAGCAGAAATAGTATTATCTGTCCATAAAACAGTCATTGATTATTTAACAGAGAAGGCAGGAATAGAGAGGCACAGAAATTTATTGTGTTTTATTCATTTTTTGAGGCAGGGTCTTGGTCTGTCACCCATGCTGGAGAGCAGTGGCACAACAGAGACACAAAACTCTTAAGGTCAAAAATTATATTATTGCTAATAGGATATCAGTGAGAACATATAATAACAACAGTTCTCCAGAAATACAATTTAATATTTAAAAATCATTTTTTATCTAGATTTAAATCCTTTTGTTCAGGAAAAAAAAGGCTCAGTAATTTTTTTTTCCTTATAATGCCCAAAAATATCAACAACGCATTCCTATTTGATTTACGATTCTTTATTCTACAGTGCTTTCATTGACAAGGACTACAACAGTAACATTTTCTGGCCATTATCCCAGAAGAAGTGAAATACACTTACAATAGCTTAGGTTGTGAATGATATTCTTTTATTTTTTTGAGGGGTGATCCAAGATTTTGCGCTTGGCTTACTTTATGATAAAAAGTTGGTCATTTTGCTATATTGTCTATGAATAAAATAACTAATTATTATAAAAGAGAAAATATCACTACTGAACAAAGAAAATGTTCTATTGCTCTACTACTTTTTAAAAATCAGTTTAAAAATAAGGATAAAGTGGCATTTCACCAATTAATTTCAGAAAATAATTTAAATTTAAATTCTGACAAAGGTATACAGTTAAAATCTTCCTTACATTGCCATAGGCAATGTAAACTGGCATAAGTCTTTAAAGAAATATTTTTGGAATATATTTGCCAAAAGCTACTAAATGTTCAAATCCCTGAAATAAGGAATCTCAGTTCTGAGACTTTATTCTCAGAAGACTCCGAAAGATGTAAAATACTGGACTTCTGGTTTAGTCACAAGTGTGTGCATGTGTGTGTTTGTGTGATACCAGGGTCAAAAAATTTCAGAAAAATTTAAGGAACACTGTTTCAGAGCGCCGGCCTCATACTAAAGACCCAAATACCACATTTGGTCATAGGCAAATTCCACTTAAAGAGACAAAGCACTTTAGAAATATTGCCTTTAAATCCTGTCCACAGCTACCATAGGTTGAATACTGCTTCCCTAATTTTGTTTCATCTGTCTAATCTCTGCAGGCCCTTTAGTGTGTGATCCCTAGTTCAATGGCAGAGAAAACAAGTGGAAAACTGGCAGCATAGGAGAAGACCTTACCTGTACAGCAGAGTTCTACACCAGAGATCAAGCTGGGAACTGAACTTCCTCCCCTTTGGATGGAAATCTGAGTAGGAGATTCCCCAGTAAACAAATTGAGAGCGGAAACAAAGCTAACCCACACTCTGGTTATGGGCAAATGAGCCTGTACAAACTGATATCACCCTATTCAAAGATCAGCAAAGAAAGCAAAACAGACTAAAGCTAACAGAGCC